CACCCTAAAAGGAGCTTAATTGACCTGAGTGCTGAGTAAGCTACCTTTTCTTGTCAGAGTAAACCCTACTAATATTGTTTATTGCTTGAAGATTTCTACTTTTTGTCTTGTAGATTAAGATTACCAAAATCTGCTCCTACAGGCATTGCTCTAACCCTTATATTTTAGGCCCAAGGTCCAGGCTGGGGCCGCATTGTAGCCCAAATTATAGGTAATAAGCTGAGCCGAGACAAGTATGTATAATGTTTGTGCTAAGCTACTAAGGCACTAACCTCACAATGTATGACAGCTGTGCATTAGGAATATTTTATGTTCCATGCACGCCCGCAATATGCTGTAAATTTAGTGTAGAGCGTGCTCACTAACCTCAATCTAAAGAGTTACTTGATGAATGCTTGGTCGGATGGTGATTATCAAGCAATTCTACGCTCGCTAGTGATTGTCGTAATATCAGTATTTTTGCATCAACCAGAAATCATATTTGGGTTTGTCTGTTTACGAGGAATTGCTAAGAAACTCTTATTCTAGATTTGTGCAAGTAGGGCCGATTTTAGAATCATCCAATTAACATTATTGCAATTGGGGATTGCCTTGGAGCAATGCCTCCTATGAGATGTTACATCGGAAAATGAAATATAGTTTATTTTTTTTTTATTTATCGTTTTATAATTAGAACAAATTTATTTTATAAAAATAATATGCTTTAAATATCTAGTTACTATATACTTCTATCAAACAAAGAAAAATCCTTAGCATGATGGAGGATTGTATTCATGGTTATGTCTCAAATAGAGGTGTAAAACGGACTATACCAGACCGGTACGGCATGGCCCAACTGCGGCCCATGCCGTGCCAAAACATCACTGAATAAAGAAAAGTCGGTGAAAAGGAATCTTAATGGTGCAAAACATCACTTTTTGCCACTAGCTCCTATGCCCTTGATTCTCTCGCTAGGGAGAACAGGCGTGGTCCTTGAGGCTTGGGAGATGGTAATGGGACTTCATAGCTTAATAGCCGTTGGTGAGGATGAAGGGTGCAGAAATTTCCCTAATCACCTCCTTGACTTGAGGAAGTAGAATTTATAAATAAGTCTACTCTTATTCCCATTCAATTCTTCTGAAAACCCCCAAAACGATCCCTTTCTGTTTATACTTTCTTTTGAAGTGGAGAAACTGGAATTGACATTCTAGTCTGGATGGCATTTAAGTCAATTTGGTTAGTGATTCAAAAATTAGGAGAGTAGAAATTTTCTCTTCAGAAAGTCATCTTCCAGAGATGTTGAAAAGTCTTCCATCTGGTTTTGACATTTTAGCTCAGCCATCTCACTTTCCAGCCAACGAAAATAAGGGTTGGAGGTTATATTTTGTTGGGCTGCTTATATTCAAATGATAACAAATTTGAATTTTTAGCCTCTTCTAACCAAACAAAAGATTTAAGCAAAAAGAAATTTTATGTGTACATTATTACAAAAGGTGAGACTGGATCTTTGAGTGTTTATGGACTTTTTTAACTACCAATTGGACCTTTGAAGGTAGAAAATATAATTTGAATCATTATTTTTTTTGGAGAAAATTAATTAGTCAGAGAAAAGATCTATCAACTAAAAAAAATATCGTCCCTTTTTGTATTTAAAAAGGATTTCATTTAATTGAATTAGGACCGAATAAAATGAGAAGTTTTTAGAAAAGTATACTGTTTATTATTATTATTATTATTTTTTTTTCTGATGTTTGATTGCACCTAGAAGTAGAATAGTTGTAAAAAGGAAAGCGTTTTTCCAAGAAGTCATTAATAACTTTAGAAAAATGATGGTCCAAAAGATGACTAAATGCTAGAGAAGAGGGCTAGTCGTCTTGGTTCACATCTTGTGATACTCCTAACTCCTAGGCTTTTCAACAATTGAGGTTTTTATCAAGTTTAGTTTTCCTTCCTCTTGTGTTCAAACAAAGCTGGTATATATGCTTTTAATGCCAATCTTTATCCATGTCTCAAATTTGTAACAAAGATGTTGATTTTGCCCCTTGTTTATTTGAAACTTCAAACATATTGTTTGAAGGAAGATGGTGCAATAGATTCATAGAACTGAAGTTTATTATTGCTCCTTGAATAAAAATGATTTGCCCTTTCAAGCACTCCACTGATGGACAAATAATCAGCTCGAACATCGGCATCGAAAAATTCAAGCCTCAATACAATGCAGGTTACGTGTCTATTGCATCCTTCATTTAAGGAGCGAAATTCTTTATTTTTTGTGGAGTTCATCATCATCATCATCTAAACCTTATCTCAATTATATGGGGTCGGCTACATGAATCTTGTTTCGTCATTCCATTCTGTTTAAATGGAGCAGAATAGATATCAACATCATTAACTGTATATTTGCACCTATCATATTATCACCCTCCATTCCACATGGCAAAACACACTATATATAAATGTGGCTCTAAACATTATGGACTTTTCAAATTTGTTTTTTCCTATAAGCTACCTGAAACAAAACAAAATAGAGTTAGGTTTGCCAAAACCTTTTTAGAGCTCTTTCTTTCATTGGCTGATATTTTGACTTGTTTCTTACTTTTCTACCAAACTTTGTTTTGTTTCAATGCCTTTGGCAACAAATTAAAACAAATATCTTTTTTTTTTTTGCTATTTAATTAGGACTTTAGAATTGTTAATTCATTCTTTGGTTTTCTGTGGAAACTTAATATAAAGATTCTTATTTTGTTGCCTAACTTGTTGGTACTTCTCTATATCTAAATCTTGTTGGTAATACTTCTTTATTTCTAAATCTTGTTGGTAATGCTTCTCTTCACTCCTAAATTTGTTAATTAAAGTCAAATTCTTTGAGCTCCCAGATGTCTGACTTAACCTAATAGCCTCAAACTAATCCAACCATATTGTATATATTAATTCCCGATTATTAGTTGTGTTGGTAGTGATTTTTTTTTCAATTGATTAAAAATCTAGACCAATTATGTAATATATATATATATATATATATATATATATATATATTTGGTATTACATAATACACATTACTAGGGACTCAAGGGTGGGACACAAGTGACCATCTCAACTAACGGGTTGATATATATTAGTACATGACAAATATACCTCCCCACATTTTTATATATTTATCATGATTTATTTGTAATATTTTAATATAAAAATGTTTAAACTATCATTTTATAAAAATGAGAGTGTAAAACCATTGGTTTATAAAAGCCCATAAACCTAATTGGACCAACATGAACCTGAACCGAGCCGGACTGGTTCAGCTTAGGGTAGCTTACCATTTATTGTTAGAAATTTCTAGAATTGTGGTTTTTGAGATAATAAAGAAAGATGGTATAAATAGGGAGCCTGCAAGCAAAAGCTGTGTGTACATAACATTCAATCGCACGTTGAGAATATCTCCTGTCCATGTATATTGAATTCATGGACAAATGTTCGCAATGTGTGCATGGTTGGATCCTATTTTTAATTTTTACTGTAAATAATTCCATTCTCATTCCCAAATAAAGATGCAAGAAGAGAACCCAAATTCTCTCTCTTTCTCTTTTCTTTCTTCTTCTAAGGCTCGGTTTGCTTTTCAGAAAATTATTTATTCATGTTTTTTATTTTTTAGGTAAATAATACAATGACCATTTTAATCATAAAATACACTATTAAAAAGAGCATTTTTGTATCTTCCAAGTATTGCTAACTTTCCCCTAATTCACATTTGAGCCCCACAGCACATTCCCACTTTATATTGGGAACATCTCCCAATGATGTCTCATCATTTCCTGTACTATTATTGGGAGATGTTCCCAATACAAAGTCGGGATGTGTTGTGAGGCATTGTGGTGCGCCCCTTGTTAGGTATAGATACGAAGGAACAACTCAATTACCCTAGTGATTATTGAACATGCCAATATATGGTGAGAAAGATAAAATATTGTTAAACTGGTATCTAATTAGCACGGGGGTCGTTGAGTTGTTCTACACAACAAAAGACCTTACTAGCTCATGGCTATTTGGCAAGTCTTTTTTGAAATATCTTTTGGAAGATCTGATAGCTAAAAGATGTAGTGGGCATTTACATAAAGATCTTGGTAGCCCATAGCCCGTTTGGTTGGAGGAGTGTCTTTCCGCACAAAGACGAGATGAAATAAGTGGAAAAGTTTCATTTGGAACTTCCCGAAAATAGCCTAAAATGGGCTTTTCACATCTTTCTATGACCAAGGCCTGTTTGGCATGTCTTTTGGGGAAGATCTTCCAGTAGCTCTGACATGTAAAAGACGCATTGAGCTTTTGCTTGAAGATCTGAGAAGCTCGAAGCACGTTTGACAGATGCACGTCTTTCCGTGTCTTTCTGTGCGAGAATAAAATACGAAAGATGCAAAAAGCTTCATTTGAAGCTTCTCGAAATCAGCCCAAAGTGGGCTTCTCACATCTTTTGGTGGCTAAATCTTCCGTAAGCCAAATGGGAATAGACTAAAAATCGGTCTACTTGACTTGTAAACAGCAAAAAAACAGCACAGCACGAAAAGATGCACCAAACGGGCCCTGCATCTTTTGGAGACTAGATCTTGTCTCAACCGAACAGAAAAAGACTAAAAGACAAGTTGCTAGACTTCTAAAACGTCAATAGCCCATGCAAAAAGACACTCCAAACGGGCCATTATCTTTATTGTCAAATTACTAGCTTCTTAATTAAATCGATCTTTTGGAATGATGGGGTTGGTTTTGGGTTATTGAAAACCCCATATGGTCTGGTTAGGATTAGGTATGGGTGTTTTTATTTTAAACGAGTTTGGGCAAACCGGGTTTACCCTGACCCACCCAACCAATCCATTGTCGTTTGACAACCCCTGCCATGAGTAATAATTGGTTCCGAAGGGCATTTGTATAAAATCACAAAGAAAAGGGTATTCGAGAAATAATTTCAAATTACTGGGGCGAAATCAACTGGTGAAGCGCCTTCGAAAAATCACTATAAAATGGAGAACGTCTCTGCACGCTGCTGACTAGCCTGGCTATATGGTTGATTTCCTCCTTTCCCTCCATTTCAACTACCATTCGATCTCTCTCTCTCTCTCTGCCATTAATCAAGTACAGACTTCGATTCTCCACGCAATGTGAGGTTTTCGACTTTTCTCCTGTTCGAACTTTCTCCAACAAAAGTGCGGAGAAGAATCGATGAGTACTGGAGAACACTCTTCCTTCTAAAGTGGTATATCAGTAGCTAGCTACTAGTTTAGACTTCAGTCTGTAACTCAATACTCGTTTTCTCCGATATCTGTCGTATCGGTATCGCTGCATTTCTGGTTTCGGACGAGTACGGAGGAGGAATTAACCGACAAAGTCGAGCTTCACCGAGTTGAAGATTGATTTCTCCAGTCGGATGAGCGATGGACGTGAGAGCTGGGAAGCTCAGATCTGCAGAGGAGCTTTTGAAGCTCTGAATCTTTTCTATTTTGCTGGAGATTGGTTTTGACATTCGTTTTGTTCGATGTAATGGGATTCGAGAAGCTCAGCGCGGATCTACGGGCAAGAAGCGTCACCGAAGCGGCTTTGAAAGCTTCCGTTTTTCAAATTCGACAGGGATTTTCTCGTTTCGACCATTTGTTTTCGGTAATTCACGCAGAAGCGCGGATCTTGGAAAGGAAAAACACTTAACTAAAGGAGGTTCGAATCTTTTTTAAGTTATTCCGGGAATTTCGCGTTTTGCTGGATGCGCTCAGATCTGCAGAGTGAAAAGTCTCCGTGCTTCGGATCTCTGATCTTCTTGCGGCAAAAGAAGCGGCAATGGTTGCAGAACCTTGGATTTTAAAGATGGGGAACCAGGTGAGTAACAATCTCAAGCACGCTCTTTTGCTCGAGGCTTCCAATAAAAGGAACGCCAAAAGACCAGAACGACCAAAAGAGACCATAGGCATTCTTTCCTTTGAAGTAGCGAACGTCATGTCTAAAACTGTTTATCTCCATAAATCTCTAACGGACCTCGAGATGTCCAAACTCAAAAACGAAACCTTGAAGTCAGAGGGGGTGAGGAAGCTCGTGTCTTCCGACGAGTCTTACCTCCTGGAGCTCGCTCTCGCTGAAAAGCTCGACGACCTGAACCATGTCGCTGCTGTCGCTTCTCGGTTAGGGAAGAGGTGTAGTGTGCCTGCGTTGCAGGGTTTCGAACACGTCTACTCTGATGTCACGACGGGAGTAATTGATGTGAGGGAATTGGGGTTCTTGGTCAAGAACATGGATGGAATGATAAGGAAGATGGAGAGGTACGTGACCTCGACTTCGAATCTGTATGCGGAAATGGAGGTTTTGAATGAGTTAGAGGAGGCAACCAAGAAATTTCAGCAAAATCATCACGAGGAGAGTCGCCGGGCCTTTGAGCAGAAATTACTCTGGCAGAGGCAGGATGTGAGGCATCTTAGGGATGTCTCGCTATGGAACCAGACGTACGACAAGATTACTGGGCTGTTGGCTAGAACTATTTGTACAGTCTACGCGAGGATCTGCATTGTTTTCGGAGACTCTGTTTCAAGGCTAGAATTTCCCGGACTTTCTGTTTCAGGGTCAGACGGTTCTGCAGGGGAAAGTTCATCTCCTGTTCAGGATGAAAGCAGGGATATTTCTAGTCAAGTTGATGCTCCTCATCATCTACAGATGGCCTCTGGACCATTGAAATCAACTTCAAGAAACTGTCGCACTCATAACTCGGGATCACTTGAGAGAGGTAAAGCGGAGAAGACCAGTGCTAGGTCTGGATTGGCAACACAGAGAAGTGATGTAGTTTCATTTCATCATGATGATTCTAGTCTTCCTCCATGCGGAGCTAGCCCTGGGAGGCTCTTCATGGACTGCCTTAGCTTGAGCAGTTCAGCTTCTAGGATTGATGATTACATTGAATACGAACAGCAAAATGGCGCAAGTTCAGGTTGCTGCAGCACCGCAAACGGGCTTAGTAGAGAGCTCCCGCACTCATCTGGTTGTTCTGACCGGGTGGAGTTGAGTGTTCCTTCTAGTGTGGATCAAAGACAATCCAAATGTAGCATGATTAGCAGCAGATCACGATTTGACTCCAAAAGTAGGTTAGTCTTACGTGCTCTTCCATCCACTGTTGGAGGCTCTGCTCTTGCTTTACATTATGCAAATATCATAATTGTTATAGAGAAGTTACTTCGCTACCCACATTTAGTTGGCGAGGAAGCTAGAGATGATCTATACCAGATGTTACCAACTAGTTTAAGAATGTCTCTAAGAGCAAATCTCAAGTCTTACGTTAAGAATTTGGCCATATATGATGCCCCCCTTGCTCATGATTGGAAGGAGACACTTGATAAGATGCTTAGCTGGCTTGCGCCACTGGCACATAACACGATCAGGTGGCAGACAGAGCGTAACTTTGAGCAACATCAAATCGTTACTAGGACAAATGTTCTTCTGCTACAAACATTGTATTTTTCTGATAGAGGAAAGACAGAGGCAGCTATCTGTGAGCTTCTTGTTGGGTTGAATTACATATGCCGCTATGAGCATCAGCAGAATGCCTTGTTGGACTGTGCAAGCAGTTTTGATTTTGATGATTGTGCAGAGTGGCAATTTCCCTACTGAAGGTCTTATATTCAAGTCCCTGATACTTGGATGCAAACAGGATATGAACTTCACCACAGCATGGATACAGATATTTACACTACAAGGTATTGGCTTGTATTCAAACCGGTGGATGTTGTATTTTGTTGATAGGTATGGAAAAATTTGACTTCTGTTGTGCATAAATCAAAATTATTCATAAAAGAAGTAAATATTCCAGTTTTATACCTCTCTTTTTCCTTTGTAGAGAAAGTGATTAAATAGTATCAATGCACAATTATTGCTATCAACCATATTTTAGTGGTACATGTATGATAGTTTGAGGGATCATGCTTTTCTGAGGTTGGGTACTGACTACTGAGGAACCATTCATTTTATAATGGTTTACTTCAAATGCATTCTTTTATCCACTATAAGAAAGCTCTGCAAAAGGAAGTTTACACTTGGAGAGTTTACTTCAAAAGTTGTAATGAAGTTTCATTTGGTATTAATATTCCCATTCATTCACTTTATGGTTAGTTTCCATTGTTATCTTTGAGGCATTTGTCCTTTTTCTCATGAAACTAGGAAGTGATTGGGAAGACCTAAAAGATTTAGAAACAAGTGGCATAATTGATTTATGCTAAGTTGCTGCAATTGATAGTAATCATTCTGTTGACCAAGGGTGGGTAGGATTTGCATCCAAACCTGTTATGAACACTTTCTGCAAAGAATGCTGGATTTGCTAGACTGTTGAACAATGTTTCTTTGTTCAATAATCTATACTTGGATGGAAATATTCTCCTTGTGAATAGGAAACAAGGGATATCCATTAGAGAATTTTCAGATCTAAATGAAAATAGGTTGAGGTCAAACAAAATGGGGCTGTGATTTTACTGAATGTGAACTAGATTTCTTTTCCTCTTTCTTAATGCTGTAATTCTTCTGCAACTCTGAATTATTGGATTTGCAAAAATTTTAAAGGAATATATTATGGTATTTGAGGATTTTAAGGGCTTATTGTCTTTGTTTATGGTGCATCTTGCTTTAACTTTTTTCTTTGAGAAGATAGGGAGTCCTTTCCCCTTTTAGTCCTAACTTCTAATTTGCTTTTTTCTATCACTTTCACAGAGAGACTCGTTCTCCTGGAATCATAATTCCAACCAAAGCGCTTAAGCACAGGAACAGGAAGTAGTGTACAGACCAGGGTTATGCTCCCAGTTTCCATGTAAAAGTGCAAATGAGGCTTTGAGCGTAAGGACATCCTTCTACTTGGTAGCAATTATTTAATCTACCAAGAATGAGTGATGGAGGAAAGTTAAGCTTCTCTGTCTCCATATATTCTGATAACCAATTCCCAAAGGCTGTGCAATGTGCTTCAAAGCCATTATCCCTAAAAAAAAAGAACACCTATGATTTCATAAGCATGGGAATGTATATTTTAAGTTAAAGAACAACTAACACAATATTGTAACATTTTTACCCACCACTGTGAGAAGAGGGGTAGGAACAGAACATCATTTCATTTTGTTAAATTACATCGACAGTATTAAGGGCCCGTTTGGTTTGCGGGAATAGAGGTTTGGAATTGGAATCAGAATGGGTCCAAGTGTCCAACTGTTTTGGTTGGGTGGAATCGGAATTCCATTCCCATTTCTGGTGGAATGGTATTCCCAATTTGAGGGAATGGCTATTTCCTCCCCCTCAAGAATGAAATCCCATTCTGATTTCAACTGCAAACCAAACGGACCCTAAATCAGTTTGATGGTAACTTGACCAGAAATTTCCGCTCCTATTAAGTATGAACTGAGTATTTATTTTCCTTTGTCCTTCACTTAATCCAGAATTGACTGATGATGCTATTGCCTATTCTAAACCTGATTCTGCTTCTAAAATTTCCTCTTACTCTGGCCTCCAGTCTTTTTCACCTCCCTTGATGGTTCAAATGGGACATACTATATCTTGGACAATAGTTGAAATATATAAGAAAATCAATCCGGAATTTATTTCTTCCATTGGAATTGCTGTGTTTGTGGAAATTGCTGAAAACGGAGTACATGCAAACAAATCAAAACTATATATACTAATGCATTTACTTTCTAGGTTCGTAGCTCATGTTGCAACTTTTTAGATTCAATTAAAACTTTAGGCTGTGTTTGGTTGCAATGCAAATAAGTTTGCATTGATGCAAAACCATGACAATACAAATGATTTGAGTAAATTCTGACCTATTTTTTCCAACCTAGACATATACACAAAAGAGCTCCAAAGGTTCTCTTTATTTATTTGTTTGATTTAGGCTAAAAGGAGAGTGGAATAAGCCCCGTAATTTATCTGCCAAGTATTGCAGAATAGCTGGATCCAGGCAACGTATATTTTGATGTGGTTGGAGCTCTTTTGTGAGATGTCTAGGTCAACTACTCCGCAGTTGATGGGCCAAAGAAGACTGAGACTCTCATCAGCAAGAGAGTTAAAAAGCATTTTCAGGTAGTAAATTCTACATGGGAGACGTAAGTGTAAGCTAACCCAACTACCTTCCTTCGAAATTTATAAAAGAATACTCAATATTGAGGAGAAACCAGCTGATTAGGAGAATGTTGCGCAATGAAGAAAGTTGCCAAAACCTGGGAGTGTGCATACATATAGGATTTGCACACGAGTACCTGTTATACAATGAGGGGAGTCGTCAAAACCAGGGAACTCATACATGGACTATGCTATATATAACTCCTGCATCTCTTTTCTCTCTTCAATGTGTCTGTATTCCATACATTTAAATACAAGGTTGAAAGCAATGTTTTCAACCCGGCATTGACCTGGCCAGCCGAACCATCACTCAATCAGGATTTTGGGTCTGGTTCAGTCAAGACCCATCAGATGATAAAAAACTGTTGACTTAGTCATGAACCATTTGACCCAGTCTATTTAACTATTAACCCATTCAACCTGGTGACTGGGTCGTAGGTTGCACATTCAATGCATGCAAAACTTTTGGGGCAATAACTTTGCACTCCAATGTTCGATTGGGTTTTTTTTTTTTGATTTTAGATAACTTTTCGAGATCTATGCATCCCAAGGTCCCTACCCTGCTATTTTCACGAAAAAACTCTTTTTTTTACTTCAAATTGCAATTTTTAATATTTTTTATAAATAAAAAAAAAAACTGAATTAAAAAACATAAGTTAAATATAAAATAATACATATAACATATCTAAAATATATTTATACATTATTTATTACTAAAACATATATTTATACACATATATACTTAATACATATATGCATTGATGTGGTATGGTCTGAATCGCTCAACCCAGAGGTAAAAACGGTTTGGCCTCCCAATTGGTTTTTAAAACATTGTTTCAAAGTATCCATACACCTCTATATGGTTCTTAAAACCTTATACTTTTTTATGTTTTCTTTAATTTAGCTTTTAAATATAATTTTATATATTTTTTATTAAAAAAAATTCAGAAATCAAAATATACAATATGATACACCATATACGAATTGTATTAATACTTTAAACCTTACTCAAACAGTAATTTCAACAGAGAAGCATGTGATTCGTTGGTCAACTAGTATGCATGCTCTTCCCGTCCCTGCTTAAGCTGTGACTGCACATGCCACCACTCAAAGTCTCAAACAGCGGGCCTTTTCGTGCACGACATGCCGAGTCATATGGCTAACAGTCGGCCCTTTTGAAATTGCAGAAACTTTTGTTACGTACGTCTGAGTAAACGGGAATAGCATGAGTGGGCACTGAGGAGTCATGTCAAACACATAATTTGGGAATCTATGATGCTCAACATCGGTTCTGGTTAGTTATAGTTCCAAGTGTGAATATGGAGCTTGTCCGGCGACCAGGTACGTGAATGATTAGTTGTTTTGTGCTTGATGCATGTACTTCATTGGAGTAGTTATTGGATCAAGTGCCATAAAAAAAAGAAGGGATTTTTGGACTGAACGGTAAAAACCCTAAAAAGAACCCTAGGTGCCGTGCTGGTTATGAATCAAAAGGTAGGTGACGAAGGGTGAGTAAGCTGAGCTTAGTGGAGCACCTGAATCCAGTACGATTGTACGAGTCTATACAAAATTACAAATTATCTTTTTGACTGGGGTCGCGCCGGGGGGGAGTGAATTTGTTCCTCCCAATTCATGCGTCCATGACGCATTAGTTCAGCAAATGGAATCTGTGTGCAAGCAGCAGAGAATGATAGTGTGGGCCAGTGCATACACCACTCCAATCACTAACACACTTAACCCTGCTAACTGGGCTTAGTGTTCTAACCAGCCCCCCCTACGAGGGCGGAAGTTGCATCATATCTCATAGAGACGGGATCTTCTCTTCACACCTATCATGTATTGGGAACATCTCCCGTACTTATTAGTTATTTTTCATGGGAGATGTTCTCAATGCACGGTGGATGTGCATGTGAGGCGCCCATTTGTGAGTTAGATCCCACTTCTATCTCATATCTTGATTATATAATGTCAATACTTGTCTTGGTTTCATGTCCAGGCCATAAAAATCAATTTAAAATATTTTAATAGTATCATATAATGCCAATTCTTTTTATCAATATATAATGTCAATGTTTGGAAAGGATAGTTGTCTAAATATTTTAATTCAAAATTGAAATATCTTTTTACAATTGCACACGCCCATGGCACATGCCAGTACTAAAAAAAAAATGTTTTGTGGATGACCTGATTAAATAGTTTTTTTTTTTTTTAGTTACTTGGATACCAACCATGTCATGAACTGACTTAGCGGTTGAACCAGGAAACTGATGATCCACTTAGAATTTTAGTTTTTGGTCTGGTCCCCAAGTTTGACAAGCCGACTCCAACTTGAAATTATCAAAAATCAATGTATATGGCATTTTTTTTTTCGTATAACATTTTTTTTGGGTAGAACGCTTTTGGTTTTCTTTAGTCTATACTAAAATAGCTAATAATCTAGGTTAATATAATACTGGTTTAAGTGCTGCATGTGAAAGGCAAGTAGAACTGTAGAAGGCTTCTTATTTTTAATGTTCTGTTTTATTTTTTTTAATTTATATACTAGACACAATTATCCACCATAACAAGGTGTGGGGAAAATGTGGAGTCCACAAATAAGAAAAGAGAGATAAGAATGATGAGAAATATTATCAATGATAACATTTTTTATATTTATTTTGATTTCTTTCTATTTTGTTAAATCTTGTAGGGAACATTCAAAATAAAAAAAAAAAAATCTCATCTAATTTGGAGGTATATAGATGAAATTTGGGCTGTGTTTGGTTGCAATGCAAATAAATTTGTACTGATGCAAAACCGTGGCAGTGCAAATGATTTGAGTGTAAATTCTGACCTATTTTTGTTTCAGATTTTAGCTTATTTTGTTCCATTGCAGTACAAATGAAGTAGGATGATAGAGTAAAATTCAAAACAAAATTAAACAAGAATTTGCATTTTTTATATTTGCACTTCCATGCATTTGTACTAGTGCAAATAAATTTGCACTACAACCAAACACAGCCTTAGGGTGATCATGCACCAGGTTTCCGGGTCAATGACTTCAAATAAAAAATATTACATAAATAATATTTAATATTATATAACATGTAGTATATTTATAAAATTTATGTTATACTTTATATAATATAAAATATTATAGATAATTAGATTGCATGCATTATATGTGTCATATTATAATATTTGTAGTATATATTATATATAAAACATATTTAATGATGTAATATATAAATGTTTTGCAAACTTCGCCTAAGCATTGGACTCAGGCCCGGGCCCGTATAGGCCCTGGCAAGCATGGCTTAGGTGGGTGTCTAATTGCCCAGGCAACAAAATGCTTACCTGTCAACTGTCATCTAGCTTGGCACCTTGACAATCATGGACAATGCTTTTTAGACATAGCAGAAAACCAATGTTATTTTTTCTTTCTTTAAGAAAGAAAAAAGAGAATAAGCGTCTGTTTGGCTCACTTCTGGGCCCGTTTGATTTATGGGAATCGAAATGGCCCATTCTGATTCCAACCAATTGGTTGGGAAAATTAGAATCCCATTCCCATTCCTGGTGGAATAACATTCCTCCATTCGAGAGAATGGCCATTCCCTCTCCTCCCATGGGAATGAGATCCCATTCCAGTTTCAATTCCTGTCTAAACCAAACAGGCTATGGGAATAGACCATTTTGATTCCAATGGATTTTGATTCGGATTCCGATTCCATTTCTCACAGAAACTCCATTTCAGTCAAATTAAACAAAATTGATCCCTAACCAGTGCTATCAATAATTCACCTTTAAAAAAAATGCAGCAATGAACTCTGTTTCACCTTGTTTGAACAAAACCACTTCTCAATAGCTCATAATTAAAACACCGCCAACCTTAAATGGGAACGTTACTGATCTCAAAATTCCGTGAAAAAGCATCACCTATATAGGCAATTGCCCCTGATGTCTGTTAAAAATACATTTTGGCAATCATGCATTTACTATACAAAGCAAAACCCTGTTTGCGTTAGTCATACTCTCAGCAGTAATAATACACTAGCAGCACTAGGTTCAACGTAGGCATCTCTGAGTAATTGATGAAATATCTACTTTGTGACTTAATGGATCAAGAATACTATATATGAGACTACTGCTCCTGAGGTGCCTGCATGAAGAGATACTGTGCATGCAAAGGCAGATTTATCAAAAACCATCATATGCAAAATATATTGTAAGTTGAATTTGAGTAATTTAGTTCATGTCATTTACCTCGAAGGGCTTGCCCAATCTCTCAAACTCCAGCATGCTGAGAGCAACTTCACAACTCTGTGAGACTATAGGCTCAGGATCCATTGCAAATTCCTCCAGAAGTGACACACTTTGGCTATCTAGTAGATGAAACACAAGGAATACTTAAAGCCAGAGATAAGGAACATAGAAAACAACGAGATTCAATAGATAGCAATTGCCAACACAAGACCAATAAGGAAGATGCAACTACAAAGGTGAACAATGTTCATTATCTACATGTCAAAGAACAAATATGAACAAGGAAACTTTACTTCTCAAAGTTTCAAACGTAATGTTGTTAGTATAGCCTACAAAAAAAAAAAGGATTACCATTTAAACCTGACAAAAAGAACAAAATATTTCAGGAATGGTATCCCTTCTGGCCACAAAATCACAGGTAGACTTGTTCATGGGCTGGGTAGCCCGAAGGGCTGGCCCATTTTTGTTTGGCTTGGACAAGATTTTAGCCCACGATCTCAGGCTCAGGCCCAAAACACTAGGCCCAACTTCCTTTTCAGGCTGGGCTTGGGCTTTCTCAAAAAAGCCCAACAAGCCCAGCTTGATAATGTTTTATATAATACATATTTTTTTCTTTGTTCCTCTTCTCTTTTCTAAAGCCATGGTGAGATCTTTCAGTATTTTTGGGTTATGAGGTCATTTAATATAAATAAATTAGCTTTATTGTTGAGTAAAAATAATAAAAAAATCTTCTTGCCCAATTTTCTTAGTTGGGCCCAAGTTCCGAGCTTTATACAAGAGCCGGGCTCAAGATCTAGGTCTGATGGTTGGGCTGGGCTTGGGCTTGGGCTCAGGCCTGAATATATTCTGTTAATATATAGTCAAAGCCCGGCTCAGATCCACCCTGGCCCGACCCATGAACAGGTCTAATCATGGGCTGCAGATGTCTTATAACGAGTTTCTCTCAATCAGCCTGTGTAAAAATCAGATAAACAAAAGTAAAATTGCCAACTCTCATTTAATACCTGCAATAGAACCAAGTCCTTCAGCGGCTTCATGTCTAACCATAGGGTGTTCATTCACATTCTTAACAACTTCAGAAAGGGCAGCAGAAGCAGCTTTGTTTTGAAGTTGGCCCAAGACATATGCAACCTGCAAAATATTGTGCATTATCTTAAAATATCTAGTTAAAAAAATAAGAAGGGAGCTGGTGGAAAAGTCATTCGTAGAAGAAAAGATACGAACTGCTTGCACAATAAAGACAGAATAAAATTGTTAAATAGTGAAGTGAATATGAGCAAAATCTGTCTAAATTTACTGTTTAATTCTTTGCATGCATATTTTGACCATGAACAAGCTCCTAGTAATGGCTATGTCCACATTATGGAATCAGAAAATCCATGCACAAATTTAAGTTTATGAAGTTAAACAAATAGGAATCATTAATAAAGTTGAGAAAAGAGGAAAGAAAACATCTTGAAGACTTGATATCTCAAATTCTAATTGGACTCTGACAAGTAAAAGTCGAGTACAAAGAAAACCTATTCAAACCCACGAACTATATGGTTCAAGAATTTTATCTTGACTTTCAACCTTCATTGTCAATTTTCCTGTGTTACACCAAGATGACCTTCCCGGATTCTGGAAAATGGAAAATCAATCTCCTCAATGCTTGTCAATATGCAACTCATGTCTTTGCAATTTCTTCCTTCAAAATTTTCTGCTCAAGTAAATGATTGATCTGTATTCTGTAATGTTTCTCACCACATATTAGATTCTGAAGCTTTTATTCTCAAGCTCCAATTATTTTGAACCCTAGTTCTTACATATTTCATGGTTTTTTCTGTCAAAGACAGCCTGTTTGTAGTAGCATTTCTAATCCCGTCCATTACATTTTCTATGGAGGCACCCTTGTTTTCAGAAATCTGGTCATTATTCATTCCAAAGATTGAGAAATTTACAAAAAGGACCAGATTTCTTTCTTTCTAATTTTGTAAAAAAAGGACTAGGCTTACATGAATTTCCTTCCCTAGAAAGAAACCCATACATGCCACATTTGGGTCTATTTTCAAACTCCTAAAAACTATACATTAGAGAACAAAGATGGACAACTTGCAGTCCAAAAGAAATGGTTGGCACTCACAATCTTCAATGCGTAAGTTGCTTATGTTAGCCTTTTGATATATCTCTTCCAATGGGTATCTCATATATTGGGACTTGAAAGGAAGATCTCTTTGTTTGGGATAGCTGGTATACAAATGAGGCTAATCATGAAACAGGGTTCTTGTCATATGAGCAAAATAAAGGTTCTAACTGAAAAAGTTCCTTCTGCATTCTACATGCAAATTCCCCTGTCCTCCACCTCATCTAGTGAAACATGCTCATTCATTCCAAGCATAAAACTTAACAACTCATGTACTCACAGAGATGACCTTCACAAAAATAAGCATATCAATCCTCCAAGGTCTTAAGACTGCATAAAATAAACCACTTGCATCCCAACATTTTATTCTCTCTCATAGAATTCCCATCATTGATAAGGCCATGGAGAAAGTGGTTCACCAGATGCAAACTGCCATCTCATTCTTCCAAATCGTAATAACTCCAAAATTCGCATGGTACAGTTAGCCTTTCCATGTTTATGTTGAACATTAGATAAGAGAGTTCCATCTCCAAGTCTCTAAGTCCAAACACCCATTTTCTACAAGCACTTAAATTATTGTTCAAATCATTACTTTCAAATAATTAATAGAAAATCATAGAGGTCCCAACAATTTCTTGTTTTGCTTAACTTTACTTTGAGTGAGCTAGTCTCAATAAACTGCTGTTTTGGTGTCCAGTGCCCTGATAATTTAAGGGTTTCCCACCTTTTGTGTAAATGTTTTACAGCATTTTCTTGACATCTATGAACCAATTCTTGGACTACCAAATCAACTTGTTCTGACTTCATGATGAAGCAGCACATAGCTCAGGACCCTTACAATGAACTATATCAGTGAATTGGTTCATCTTCATAGAAAAATTTTCTCATTTTCTATTCTCACGTCATTCTGGAAACCTGATTTTATTGCTTCTTTTTATGATTGTTAAATATAAGGAATATACTCGCAACTTTGAATGCCTACACAATCACATGTAGATTTGGTATTAAATTTATTTTGATTGATATTGTGAGAGGATTGTAGCATATGACACAGACTCTAACAATGTCCTATTTTGATGTGAGGTCCACAGGCCACAAATCACTCTGAGAAGGCCCACAGGCCACAGATAACACACACACACACACACACATCCCTGTATCTCTACCTTATTTAACATAGCAAGAGGCAAGAGCCCCATCCTTTCATTTGTTTGTTTTTTCCCTTCTCCAATTTATACATATACATATACATACATAGATTCACATTAAATATGATATTTCTCTTGTATTAATAGAATAGGGGCTCCATCCCCCTCCCCATTGTTGCTCCCATTCTACTTTTAATGTTTTTTTTAATGTTAGATGACTTTTATGGTCTGATACTTGCTACATCAAATCTTCAACTAACAAAAGAAACTAATAAAAAGCTAGGGAATCAAGCTAAAATTAACCATGTTTTTTCATTAAAAGCACCATAGCCCAGTTGCTTAGGCAATAAAGCACTCCTTTATTGCTTAGCCTTGCCTTAGTACCTTGAAAAATGGCAACTATGAATAGCACATGACCAATAGGAATCTTTAAAAGGGTGAACAAAGGAAGTTTGGTCATAACAAATGGATACAGTTTTGGAGGCTCAGGGCAAGTTTTCATTAACCTCTTATTTCAAGATCTCATGTAAGACATAAGACCATTTTGAAGTCCAAGTTCCTATTTCCTACTAAAATAAAGGCTTTAGGATGGGAGGACACATGGAAGAAGGTAAAGACTGCAACACACTAAAAAAAATGTACAGGTCATGGAAGTTATGACCTTATGTCTATTATATGCTCGGATAATTGGGAATTAGGGAATAAATTATTTACTCACTGTGGTGCATCATTTTCAAGGTCAGTTTGGAGAAAATGGTCCTTCCCTAAGAAATATGATTGACCTAATTTGATGCTATTACTCTGCTCTGTTGGTGAAAATAGAGTTTTATGGAGGTACTTGTGCTTGGCCATTCTTTGGGGCATTAGAAGCAAGAAACTCCTAGAGCTTTCAGGATCATCACCACACTTTATTTGTGGTCACTAGGACAGCTTACTGGGTTGATGAATTCCAAGGTATTCTGATTGGCTTGATTGCGAGGCAATGGTTTTTTGATTTCCAGGTCTAGGCTGGCTCAGTTCCAGACAGAGTGTGTTTGAGACTTGGGCCCCTTCCACCACAATCCTGTCCAGACGCCAAGTATTAGCCAGCCTAAACCCTTAGACTAGCACCAAAGAGTTCCATTGTCCCACACAGTCCAAGGAGCAACAGCACCAAATTACCTTCAGAGTCCTTAGACATGCCATAAATGATAGCAAAGAATTACCTAAAGAGCAACAGTCAAATTTAAACAAAATATGCTCGCTCAATGCACAATTAAGGGCTGGAATGCACAATTAAGGGCAGTCTCTAGTAATTAGGTCAATAGAGGGGAAAAGAATAAAAAAATTAAATATTTCAGATTGAAATCCAATGAGCTACCCTGACTTGGATTCAGTACATGATTGCCAAGCATGGCCTTTTTTATTTCAAAATTTGATGTTCCTTTCCTTCAAAATCCCCACATAATGCAAAAAATGGGAAACTTTTATAATAAGTTAGTCTTATTACCAAAAATATGCAGCATACCGACTCAACAAGACATATCGAATATAGGATAGGCAGACCTAACCAACCACAAATAAAATAATAGACTGCTGAGTATTGATGAAAATAAGATGGTTGCATTGTTCACTATACTCTCTACCTTTCTTACACATACAAGAAGAAAAGCATTATGAACTTATTTCTTTTGAGGACTTGGCATTCCAGAAAGGCTCCTCTGTATAATCATTCCAAAGGAAAAAGATACTCCAGGTAACTCAACATGCAAAAGGATAAACTTTTCAGACTAACACTTCTATGGCCCTGGGCCAAGAGATACACCACATAAATTCTGCTTAGTTTTCATTACTTTTCTTAAGGCTGTATTTGGTTGTAGATCTCAATTATACAATACTAATAGCATAAGACAAAGTCATATGCAGCTCTCTGCATGGTAGGTGGTATAAGAGTGTGGTGCATTTTATTAACTAGAAGATGACATAGTGACATTCATATCCAGATCTCCATGTGGATCACCTGGATTATTCTGAATATCATTAAACTTACTGAAAATATCATTTATTTCTCAAGCAATGATATACTATCAAGTAAAATGACAACTATTTAAAAAGAATAGAGAATTAGGGATACCTCATGGCGCAAGAGAGCACTTTTTGCACCTAAAGAATCAATTATAGCACTAATAGCTCCATCACCTCCAAGGTTTCGAAGAGCAAAAAGAGCCCCATATCTCTCATACATGCCCTTTTCTTCATTCAGAAGAACCTCCCTTAAATCATGTAGGTAGAAACAATCAACAAACTAGCACTAACTGACAAGGAGCAGATTAGTTTGCTCACTGGCTCAAACCAAGAAGCAAACCAAATTAATAGAAAACAGACTGATAATTCAATAATTCATAACCATTAAAAAGATCAAAGCAGTTATTAGTCTACAAGCAAACCTTAGCTGATCTACAGAAGAACTAAAAGAAGCAGGCATGGCTGGATCAACCGACAGAAAAGGTGAAGGAAACATTGCAGATGTTTGATCATTATCATCAAAAGTCTTATGTTCCTCAATTCGTCTAAGAGCCAATTCACATGTCTCTCTCACTTCCTGGGCAGGATCTGACAATAGGCTTTTCTTTAAAATAGGAATATTACTCTCCAAACCAATTGCACCAAGAGCTTCTGCTGCCTGCAATAATGAATAGAGATCATAATTGAAACCAAAAAGAGCAGTACATGATACTATACGAGACCATGATAACACCGCAGAAAAGAAAGGTTACCTCGTGACGAACAATGGGGTGCAAAGAAAGATCATTAAGAACCTCCTGTAAGGCAGGAACAGCATCAACGTCTTGCATTTGGCCCAACGCAAAAGCTGCCTCATGGGCAAGCAAATTCGAAGAATCCCTCGTTGCTGAGAGCCAAATGATAGTTACAGTTACAACTATTGTTAACCATAAGCATACCTTGGATGAATTTCTACGGAGTTCATTAAAATCCATTACCTGAAGTACAAGTCTATGCAGATTCTACTGGAATTACATAAACCAATATCTGAGTTTCTATAAAGAACATCACGGAGGCAAGTCCAGTTGAATAACTAACTATCGAATATGGAGACCATCGATCAAACCAAAGCTTGCATTACTCGTGGAAGAAACTTACCACGGACGAGGGCCTCACGAGGACCGGGACCTCGGAGATTGCGAAGTGAAAATAGAGCTCTGAAGCGCTCGGAGATCGGTTGGTCTTGATCGAGAAGTCGCTGACAGAGGAACTTCTCCGTTTCCAGTGAGGCGTGGAAGGAACTCCGACACGCCATGGATTCGCAGGGAACCCAGGACAGAATCCCTAGTTTTTCAAAGTCGCTGGATGCCCCAGCCCCAGAGAGCGACAGATTCTAGCCGTTGGCGCCAATTGAATCTTTCTGCGCTGAACTGCATAAGAACGGGACTCTAAATTATAAGGGTCCGTTTGGTTTGCGGTTGGAATTAGAATTGGAATCCGAATCGCCCTTGAATGGACCATTCCGAATTCTGATTCTGTACGACTGTACCCTATTGAGAACCAAACGGAACCCTAAGACTTTAAAGGGACTTTAAACGGAACCCTATTGAGAACCAAACCGAATCGCCCATGTGGCCTGAGTGGGTGGGCAAGCTAATAGATGGCCCATTGGGCCAGGATCTTTGACTTTTTGAGGGTCGGAACAGGAGGTGGAGCGCATGGTTTCGGTGTGGGTTTGGCGGGATTAAGCAAAAAAGCATATTTTAATCAGCAAATACCATATTTTAGAAGAATTTGAATTTGAGATGGCATGAAGGCTAGTCATTTCATTTCCACAGAACTAGAATGTGAGAATAGAAAAATTCAAGTCCAATTTTATTACACCCCGGTTCAAACGCAGCCTTGATTATGTGGAATTCAAATGACTAGTAAAAATTTCTAATTCATCATGGTGTATGAAGGTCAAAAGTCTCAAACCAGGGGAGTGATTTGAGCACATCCCATATTTTAAACGGAGAAGTAAGGATAGATCCATTACAGATTTCTGAATCCCACTGCAGATCTATAAACATTAAAAATGTCAAATACTCCACTCTATGCATCAATTCCTACACCTACTCAAGTGTTTGGGCCTAAAAATTCTTACCCTAGGCTGATCCGTCATTCTCCCAAGGGTCATTTATTAGAACACCCCTATAGTTTCACATATTTGCTTAAACTATTATATAGTTTGTATTTTACTAAAACACCCCTTATAGTTTGCAACCTATTTACTTAATCTACCTTTCATTAAGAGCCATTTGTTTTGGCATCGAAGATAGTAGCATGGTTACCTAAACTAAGTGGAATATGTTCAAGGGCCCATGGTTGTTTATTCCAAAAGTATCCCTAATTTGAGTGGAAAATGTTCAAGGATATGGATCCATGGTTGTTTATTAAAAATACCCCTCACACTCTTTTGTATGGAAAACAAGTTGACCAAATAGAGAAAATAGAGTAGTTGCCCCTTTTTTATTAGGGGCAAAAATGGTATTTATGTTTCTTTTGATTAAATTTATTTGAATGGATGTTATGATAAAAACCGTCATTTTCCACTTTCATCTAATGAAAGGTCGATTAAGTAAATCGATTATAAACTATAGGGTATGTTTTAGTAAAACACAAACCATAGGGTAGGTTTTAGTAAATTCATGAAACTATAGGGGTGTTTTAGTAAATGACCCTTTAAAAAATAGGGCAAGTCCTAACCATGAAAAAACACATTCTTCTTTTCACTAAGAATAAGAATGTGCCTATTTTATAAAGGCTTGTTTGTTTTACTTACTTAGATAAGTGTTTTTTAGGTAAAACTTACTCAGGGTAAATGAGATTCCAATGTTCTTATATGTTACAAGTTACCCAAGTAAAGAAAGTAGTGGGAGGGAGAGAGCACTTATCAACACATGGATAAATTGTTTACCCATACACCTTGTACGAGGTAACTGATACTACTTGATTGACCGTGGGACCCAATATAGCAGCAAATAAACGTGAGTATCTTGGTCAACTACTTGATTGACCAACTTACCCCCCCTCCCCCAACTAAATACTGACAAAACGAAAATCAAAGTCCAAATGAACAGAAAATGAAATGACCAACCACCCACTCTACAAATTCAGTAATTTGCTAAAATGGTAGAAAACATGGCTATTGCAATTCTCTAGATTCTGCCTCCTTTTTCTTTCTTGATACAAATGGTAAAGCCAATTTCAAGAGCATTTTTCTATTCTAAGTATCCATATCATCCACAACAAGAAAACTGTAGACATTAAAATTTTTATGGTCTCCTAGATGGGCCCTCCCCCCCCCCTAAACTCAAATTTGATTATGGGCTTTAGCGTGGGTCTTAACATTTGAGCCTTGCTTTTACAAATCCATTAACATGATGAAAGGGCCCATGTAGGACCCACTTTAAAGTTAAATTCAAATTCAAATTTGAATTACAAGTCTTAGTAGTTTATAGGAACAATTCAACTAGAACCCATTTCAAGTCCCAAAGATAGAAATCTAGTAAAAGATTGGAGCAAGAATAATTGATTGAAAATCATTCTTTCTATAAATGACAAATTGCTAATCCTATTCTTTATAAAAAGTAACTAGAGATAATCAAATCTCTACTCAACCAAGGCACATCTTCCCATAGATGGAAATTAGTCAATGATTAAAGAGAGAACAGTGGGTGATAAATCATTCTCTCCAAGAATGACAGTAGTTGCAATCTTTTACTCTCTAAAAAGGGGTAAGAAGAACTAATCAAATCCTCAATCAAGAAGAGGAAGATATTAGACTAAGTAATCTATAAATAGGGGTTTCCATCATGAGGGAGGGGACATTTAGTCAAAAGATAAAATCTAAGTGAAGTAAGAATGCTCTTGGGAAAAAAGGAAGCACATACACCATATTCTAAAGAAGAAAGTAACAACACTTTTGAAATCTAACAGAATTCTTTTGATCAAGCTTTCAAGCCCAATTAAAGGGAGCAATCTCCACTATTCTCTAAAGTACGAGAGCACGTCAAGAGAGAATTAGAGGTGCTATCTCTTTCGTAAGAGAATTCAAATACAAAGAATTTGTATCCCATTTATTTCATAAATATAAGACATCAATTTAATGTCTTTTTTTTGTATTTGGATTTATACATGAATTTTGTGTCAACAAATTTCTGGCATGCCCGGTGTAACTCTTTCCACTCATCTTTCTCAAGTTAACATTTATTTTGAAGCTATCAGTTGATCAATGGCTTTGAAAATGTCTTTTACAACTGCTAGCAACAAGGAAAATGCTTTGGATGGCCTTCACTCAACTTCTATTGGTACTAGTTATATAGTCTCAACAACTTGACGTAGGATTAAAGCTAGAGTTGCTCATTCATTTAGTAGTACTTCTCTTGTGAATCAAGGAAAATTTGCCCAATGAAATCCATTCATTTTATTAGCTACGCATAAGTCCAATATAAGGGAGAAAAGTGCATCCCCAAGATATGTTGCTTCAACAAGTGGTCCACTACAAAAGAAGACATATGTGTCTTTTGATGAACACTCTAGCACTGGATCAAGGCTAAGATCACTATTAGTGACATCATCATTACAAGAAAGGTTTTAAAACTAAGCTTTTTCTAAATCCTTGGAATATTATACTATTATTCCCATCATGATGGTGGGGGTTGCCACAATTGTAGAACAACTTACTGAAAGGTTATGACCATTACAAAATTGACAAAGACGGTGGAAGAGAAGGATTTTCAAACCACTTCACTTAGGAATAGGTTGGAAGAAGCCCAAGGTGTAGCATCTAGCCAAGAACCTTCCCACGCACCTAAAGTCACTCTACAAGAAAATCATATATAGGACTCACGAGAACATGTTCTTCCACATGATATTTAACATGTTTCAGTAGCATCCATATTTGTATAACAACTTAAAATATGATTGTGAATACGATATGGGCCCAATATGGAGGCATTCTGTAATCTTTTGTAATTTACACCAAGCCCTACATAGAGCATATTGATAAATTGCCTATGCCTTTGGGATATCAACCCCCAAAGTTTCAATAGTTTGACGAAAGGGATATCCCACACAACACATTTCACATTTTATAGACATGCAGCAATGCAAGAACTTATGGTGACTTGATGGTGAAGCAAATTGTACATTCATTAAGGGGAAATGCCTTTGGTTGGAGGTATACCAACATCTAACTAAATTCTATTCATAGTTGGGACCAATTGGAAAGAAAATTTTTGGATCATTTTTATAGCACTCGTTGTACAATTAGCATGTGAGATAATTATGGCAAAGCAGAAAAAAGATGAGTCTGTTACTGAATACATTGATAGATGGATAAATCTCTGTCTAAACTATTAGAATAAGTTTAGTAAAACTTCAACTATCGATACATGTATTCAAGGAATGCATTGGGGTTTGCACTATATCTTCAAGGGAATAAAGTTTTGATGTTTCGAAGAGTTGACAACTTGTGCTCATGACATGGTGTTAAGTCTAAGTGACTTTGGAGAGCAATAAACTCATGCTTTTTGAAAAGAAAAAAAGAACATAAAGAATAAAGAAAAATCATCTAAACTAATTGAAGTTATGGCAACTACTATTGCACCTATCAAGATTTCGGGAAATAAGAAAAGTAAAAAAGAAACAAGAAAAAGTGCCCCTCAAGATAAAGGAAAACAAAATTTTTTCATGAAAGAAATGGAGGAATATCCATTCCTAGATTTTTTATGTTCTAGGGATGTTAGATGCTCTCTTAGCTCAAAAGCTCATAGAGCTTTCTGATTACAAGTGCTCTGAAGAGAAAGGTTAAACAAACCATTGAAAATATTATTTGTACCATCGAATAATTAGTCATCTAGTTGAGAAATGTTTCATTCTCAAAGATAAAATCATGCCATCGGAAAAGAAGGAATTGATTGAGTTAGACTTACGTAATGACGTTGCTACCATAAATGTCACTATTGTTGCATTTGGATCCTTTGATTCAACACCTTTCTCTAACCCTTGTAAAATTCTACCCACACTTAAGAAAGCTATGAGGGCAATGCATTCAACATATGAAATTTCTTTTAGGTCTTTTGACCCTATTGTTTGTGATTTCAAGTCAGAAATATCATTAAATAAAGCATACGAGCAAGTCTTTTATCCTAAAGAAGTTATGTTTGAACTAGAGAACATTATAAGAAGATGGGGGGTGGACTACAATTATTTGACATAAACATCATTTTAAGCATTTATCCATGACCTCTGGTTTTAGAATAAACAACCAAGTTACATCTTCCACATAGGTTATCCATGGAGAGATTTTGCAATAATCTCGTCAACCAAGGAAAACTATGCATGTTTCAAGTAGAAAATCAAGC